TATGTACTAAAGTGCTGGACACAGATGATGTATGTACTGATTGTGATGAGTTGTATGAGCCCCTAATAAAGTGATTATTTTTAAAAAAAAGTACAGTAGTACCAGCTGGTCACCCTCTAGCTCTTCTGGTCTCAGAATAAAGGAGGGAGTTGTTCACGGAGGCAATTAGCCAGACTTTCCATCTCCTCCTCCTATTCCTGACTCTCCTTCTGTTGCTCTAGGTCAGTGGTTCTCAACCTTCCTCATGCCGCGACCCTTTCATACAGTTCCTCATGTGGTGGTGATCCCCAACCATAACATTATTTTCGTTGCTGCATCATCACTGTAATTTTGCTACTGTTATGAATCATAATGTAAATATCTGATATGCAGGATGTGACCCCCGTGATATGGTCATTTGCCCCCAAAGGGGTCTTGACCCCACAGGTTGAGAACCACTGCTCTAGGTGAATAGAGAGACCAATTGCTAGACTCCACCTCTTTTCAAACAGTTTACCTTAAATCTGCAGTGATACATTTTCTAGTACGACACATCAGCTCTACACACAGGAGATTTTGTTCCACGTGGAAACACTCGACCTTGGAAAATATAAGGAAGTCTCACAATAGCTAACAGTTTTAGAAGTTATTTATTTACATGTATTTTTCTCACCTTCAATATTCAGCAGTGGCTGATGATTGACATTAAGTTTGTTTTCATCACTATCAAACATCCTAGTCAAAGAAGTCTTTAAAATTGCCAACAAAAGCTTCTCTTCTTGTAGTAAAATTTGCCTCTTATCCGGAGTAACGTTAATATCGACACACTCTAAAACCAAAAGGAAATCAGACTGTTATGCTTAAATCAGTGAAAGAAATGTTCCCAAGCATACTTAACCAAAGTAATACTAAAAAATACAGCATCCAGACTAAAATCCATAATCTAAAAAATTAGCTTTCTAATAAAAAAGGAAAAAGATGGGAAATTTTAAAAATGGACAAATAACATGAGGACTTGAGTGGGTGAACTGCAAAAGAAAAATAGCAAATAAATACAAGGATGCTTCAGTTTATGGAAAATTTCAATTATCGTTTCATTCCATTTTCCCATGAACTTTTTGGAAGTCAAACCCAAAAACATGAAATAAAGGAAAACTACAAACCAAAATAAAATGCCATTCATCACTCCTGAATTTGGTATAAAAATCACAATGCTTAGTAATCACAATTGGTTAATGTATAAGCTGGTATAATGTGTCTCAAAGTGGAAAAATTCTTGAAAATGATCATCCTAAAGGGGCCAATACTTCAATTAAAAGTTTGATTAAGGAAATAATCAAAGATATAGTGAGTTCATTACAAGGATGGTATACTTCCTAAAACTGAAAAGAAATGGTCTAAAAATTAAATAAACAGCCTAAAGTAGATAAATTTTTAAAGCAATATTTTTATATTCCATTATATTACACCCACTGAAATATAACACTGTAGTAATGTTTCTGAATCATTCTTAATAACAAGAAGAAAATATTCACATCTAGGGACAAAGTAGAATGACTAAGTTATTTCCTCACTAAAATTAAAAAAAAAATTGTTTTCTCACCCCAAAGGGTATGGGAGTGGGATATGGGATGTTTGCATAAGGTGTACACAGATGTCCTTATAAATACCTGGGAAAAAATCCTGGATGTCAGTACACCAGAATTGTAATAGTTATTGCTAACCAACAGCAAGGCTTTTATAACCAGAAAAATTATGTCTCTATGAAATAAATTCTTTTCAAAATCAGAGAGAACATTCAAGTCTTCCGGAATTCCATTGCAACTTTCTTCTTTTCCCCTTGGTGGACAAGAAAAATAAAAGGCCTCATCGTCCTTCGAGCATTGCTCCAGCAGAAAGCAGAAGAAATAAAATATCCTCATCCAAAGTTGATTCTATCAGTCTCTTTCCCAGTGCAGCTCTTTCTTGAAGTAAAGCACCAATCTGACTGGAATGACAATGGGCCTCACCTGAGTCAACGGAAATGTTAAGGGCCACAAACGGGTACTGGTGCCGGTTGTACAGGTGATAGACCTCATTCACCAGTCTGGAGACCTACACAAAAAGGGGCAAGGGAGAAGAGAGTACATGCAGATCTCCCGCACAGATCAAACGGCGTGCTACTCTCATCAATCAACACAGGGACACATTTTTTGAAGTGCTTTCAACCCCCAAACCAAGTCCATGCCCTGGAGTGACTTCAGAGTCATAGCAACTCCATGGGACAGAGTACAACTTCCTACCCCCTGCCTTGCCCCGTTTAACAATGCTGTAACCTTCATAGGAGCAGATTGTCAGGTCTTTTGTCCTTCTGGTAGCTTCCTCTAAAGTTGGGCCTAGAAATATCATATGAACCAGCAATCTCTGTATTTGGTATATGTCCCAGAAAAACAAGAGCCATCACAAGACATGCACTATTCACAGTAGCAAAAAGACGGGAACCTAAATGCCCAGCAGGGGGAAGAATGAGTGAATAAATCAACTTTGTTACATACGTGCAATGGGATACTATGTAACATTCAAGAGTAACAATGAATCTGTGTGCTACCTCACAAGGAGGATGAACCTGGAGGGCATTATACTGCGTGAAATTAGTCAAACACAAAAGGGCAAACAAACACTGTTGTAACAAGTCAGGAAAGTGCTTCACCCTGAAAGAAGTCTACCTGGATGGTTACCAAGGGTGTGAAGGGAAGTCATCTTTCCAAACTTATTTGGCCTTCTGCCCCTTTTCAGAAAACAAACTGCTCAGGTCCCACCTTGGTACTTACAAATGTCTGCACTATAGCCCATAATCCAGCATGCCGTGTAGGCATCTGTTTTGGCAGCACCCCTGGATCTTCGAGTGCCGCCCCCCAAAGGGAAGGGGAGGGGAGGACAGAATTGACCACTTTGGGACACATGGGGCCAGACGGCAGGAAAGTGATGACTTGGATGAACGGGAAAGCAATCCCCAGTAAGGGGGAGGGGCTAGGAAAACTGATGAAGGCTGAGGAAGACACTGAGAGGGCTGCAAGGGCTCACGGCAGCAGAAGAAACCCTGCTATAGATCCGACCCTGCAACAGAAGGGAGCCCTGAGCCGATGCCTGCACAGACACACAGGCTGACCCGGTGGGAGGAGTGGGGTATTCCCATAAACACAGTATGCTTGACAGAGAATGTCTGTATATTTACTTTAGCTGCAACGATCGCTAAGCACATAGGGGACAAGGTTATGAAAACTTCGATGTAACCAAACCCTTGGAGGGCACAAGTTGCTGGGCTGGAGGGGGATCAGGACCATAACCTCAGGGAACACCAAAGTCAAAAGACAATGTCTGCATCTTACTGTGACCAGTGTCAACGAGCGACTTCAAAGCGTGTGAGCAGCGATCCAGAATGCAACTATTGGTCTCTCCCCATCAAGTGGAAACAAGAGTGATGAAAATCAAGACTCATGGAAACAGTCCAATGGACTAATAAGACCATAGAAACATCAGTGTCAAAACCGTGAGACCAGAAAAACTAGATGGTACCCAGCTACCACTACCAAGTGCTCTGAAAAGGATCTCATTAGAGTGGGAGGAAAATCATAAAGGGACCAGGCTTACCTTCAGGCCTAGAACTGAACTCACCTCTGTGGTAGAATCATCAACCATTTAACATGAAAAAGGCAGCATTTACCCAAAGACAAATTCAGGAGGTTAGGAGAGGAGACATGGAAATGGAATTAGGATAACACGGCACACTGAAAAAAGAATTGCAATGAAGGACCTGAATCAGAATGTGAAGAAGTGCTGAATGTAAAACTATGATCTGCTCTGTAAATATTCACCTGATTCACAATATATTGTTCAGAAGTCAGGACAGGTTCATGCACAGAAGCAGCATTCCCTGAGGGTTACCAAGGACAGGAAGGAGGAAAGGAAAATCATTATCTAGATCAGGCTGTCAAACTGGCAGCTCACAGGCCACATGCGGCCCCCGTGGTAATTTTTTGTGGCCTGTGACGATCTGAAATAATATGACAATAGAAAAAATTGTTTTGTAAATGTGATGTGGCCCGTGTGAATCTTGCCTGTTGCACCAGGTGGCCCGCATTTTAATGGAGTTTGACACCATTGACCTAGACGATACACAAGTGTTAATGCTGGTGAAGGGAAAGGCAACATGCACTATGGGTAAGTCAGCATCACGAGACAAGGTCAAGGAACACACTTCCCAGCACACAAGAATAAAGACAACTATGGTGGTATAGTGGGTTAAGTGCTGGGCTACTAACTGCAAGGTTGGCAGCTCAGACCCACCAACATGCTCCGTGAGAGAGAGATAAGGTTGCCTGCTCCTGTAAAGATGTACAGCCTTGGACACGCAAAGGGGCCGTTCTCCTCTGTCCTGTAGGGTGTCTCTGAGTCCAATAGACTCCAAGGTAAATGAGTATGGAGTACAGTAACATATACAACAAAAACTGGTGAGTAGATACACAGCTAAACATGTATGTTAAATAGGTGAGGGAAGTCGTACAGGATTGTGACCAAGGTCACAGAACAATTCTTAAATGAGCTATTGATTGAAAATGTGCTATTCAAACTTTTACCAAGAGCATAATAAAATGTTCAACAGAGTTAAAAGGAAAAAAGTAATAAAAAAGTTTTTTAAGATACCTTTGCTGGGTCACAAGGCCGTCCATTGATAAAGAAAAACTGTCTCTCAGTTGAGCTCCTCCCAATGCCATGGGTACACTTTGAGATGAAACCGGAGATGCTATTCAATGTTAATATGACAAGGGCCGGGGTCCAGGGTGAAGAGGGTTAGAAACAGAACATAAGGCGCTTGAAATATAAGCAAAACACCTATTGATGAGCTCATAAGAGCAGGCAGTCCCTGACTGAAATATGCATCTGAGTTACAAAAGACTGCACCTATAACCCATCTCTCGTTTTTCTACAGTTAGCAAGGAGACCTGCTGGGGACCCCACTGGAGGCTCTGCTCTGAGGAGGAGAGCTGAGGCCATCTGCTCTGGTGCAGGGTTACACAGCCTTGGAAACTCTAGGGAGGGGTCTCTTCTGGGCTATAGGGTCACACTGAGCCGGAATCTCCTTGATGGTGATAGCGACTCCCATCAGTGTTGTAGCTCAGAGGTTCAATAGGATGGTTTCTATGGGTACTGGTGCGAGAAGGATATACTAACAAACACTTAGAAGAGGCATTCGGCTTCTTTCAGAACCAACGTGCCACAACCACAGGAGCTCCCGGTACGAGTATTTCAGGTCCTGTACATCTCTACTCCAGGGTGATGAAGCCCCGAGAAACACAGACTGCCCAGAATGCACTACACCAGAAATCACACCTGACGCTGCTGACTTAATCCTGACTCACAGAGACCCTCCAGAATGGCCTCCTGGGCCTTCTACCCAAGCAGGCTGCCACATCTTTCCGTGGGAGGCGTGGCGGGTGAATCCCTACTGAAAACCTTTTGGTTAGCAGCCCACTGCTTAAGCACTGAGTCACCCCTGCCTGCCCCGATAAAGTACTGGTCAAGGAGCACCTCCCCAGGACATCTGCACTCCCATCGGAACAATGTGTTTAAGTAACGTAAATAAAGGAGCCTCCGTCAGTGTGACTCCGGTCATCAGCCAAAGGCAAGCTCAGGGAGAGCCGGAACTTGGCCTTTCCCAGGGCCGATCTGAGAAGGGAAGCCATCTCTCTCACTCTAAAACCTCTAACTCTGCTGGACTGGGCTTTGGGCAAGACACAAATAATCAGAAGTGCATGCTCTACTGCCTGCTGCTGGATCCCAAGAACGAAACATGACACACACAAATACTCAAAAGTGCTTCTCATTGTTCACTAAACACACCTTTTGCCCGTAGGATCAAGTGCAGAGTAAACCCCCAGAAGTGTACCACACCAACTCCCCAGAACAGTGTAGGAAGGAAGTCACTGCACAGCCCTGATACAGATCCTCTCCCACAGACCTATGAAACCCGGAAGCTTTAAAGTCGATACTGAACTTTAAAACAGGAACAGCCTCATGAGAAAATGTCAGAGTGGAATTTTCTTGGCAGCAACGTACTTACCAAAAGAGATTCGGCCGCGCTGCGGGCCAGCGAAGGCCATACTCTTCACACACAGGTTCGCTGGGGGGCCGCTGAACGAAAGGAAGGAGGCTCTGCAGCTGAAAGACACCAGCACGCAGTTAGGGCCGAGCAACGATGGAGGGAACCTGACTTCAGAAGGAGGAAAGGGGGAGGATTGTGGTTTTTTCTTTTTTTCCTTCTGACACAATCTATGTGAAGACCTCAGAGAAACTTAAGAGAATACGGATTGCTGATTTTTTAAATAATATAAACTTAAAAAAAAGAAAAAAAGATGACGAGTTTGAGTCCCCACTCTATCATGATCAATGGTTGACCAGCATCATTTCTGTTACTGCAGCCTGAAAGTAAAAGGAGGTCTTAAGTTGTTCTCCAGAAGGCTAAAATGACGCCGGTTTGGTGAGGGCTACCTTAGAAACACCTGGCAGGGACTGTATCCCGTAGGTCCCATCCCTTGGGAAGGACAAGAAGAAAATCCCTGCCATCCGCATGAGAACGATTAGACCTCTTTCAGTCACTCGCCACCACTACCTGCTTCTGCCCAAACACGGACCCGATGTTTTCCTTCATGCTGCCGCTCCCGCTGGTGCAAACCACCGGCTGCCGCTTCCCTTGGCCGACCTGGTTGGAGCAGCTGATGCGGACGCCTGCTGAGATGACGCAGTAGGCCTGCAGCACCTGGACCATTTTGGCATACTCCTGTTCACGAAACATAGACACAAGAGTCAACGGGCGGCGATCTCCTAAGACTGACAGGGTTCAAAGGTCAACATCCACGTTAAGGTTCACAGGTCACCTTATAAATAAGAGTGTGACTGACAGAAGGGTCCAGACAGAGCCATCTTCCCAGAGCTGCAAAAGGGACCTAGTCAGGCTACACTCGCTGAGAAAGGTTCCAGGTCACTGCTCTAAAAGTCAAAGGGTCTGCCCTTGCCCTCTAGTCCTCCTCTACAAATGCAGCCTTAGAAAGAGGGGGACACAAGTCTTCCAAGAGATAGCACTGATACAGTCAATGAAGCACAATCCGGGGCTGGGGAGCTGATTAGAAACCACCTAGGCAACTGCTAGCAAGAAGATTCACTTCATCACGGTGTAGCTAACAGTGACATGAAAAGAAAAAAGTCATGCAAACTCACCCCCCAAAACTTATATGTTAAGCAAAAAATCAGTACGTATGAGGGGGATTTACAAAGTTCATAAAAATTGAATGAAACCTTCAACATGCCATCTTTGGAGCCCTCTCAGATGTAGCAAAATGAACTACTAAAGTTTCTTCAGTGATCGTATCATGAAGTTGGGCACCCACTGATCTGATTTTTAGTTCTTTGATGTCTGGTAACTGGTCCCTTCTGCACCTTGTGGTCAGTCATGCTGGTATGCTTCTTCCATGTGGGCTTTGATGCTTCTCAGCTGGATGGCCGCTTGTTTATCTTCAAGCCTTTAAGACCCCAGACGCTATATATTTTGATAGCCATTAGCTCTTCACCACATTTGCTTATGCACATGTTTGTCTTCAGTGGTTGTGTCAGTAAAGCGGGCACCCACTGATATGATTTCCAGTTCTTTGATGTAATCTGCTTTTTTATCAGGACAATTGTACATTCAGCAACATTTCTACTACTTTGTTTGCATGCAAACTCATGAAGATTGTCATCATTCATGAATTTATGAATCTTGAGATCCTTTGATGTATAATCCCTAAAAATAAGTATCAGAATTTTATGGCCTAGTCAGTGGTTGAAACCCACCAACAGCTCCAAAGAATTCATGGGGAAAACCCCATTCTTTAAGTCCCATGTCCCCCCGCCAAAACTTTGGAGCACCTCCTTATGGACATCACACCATCCATACACTGGAAAACCAGGATTCTGAATTGACTGTACCTTTTTAATATTCCTCTGAAACTCCTTGTGGCGCACAGGTAGCGGGTAAAACAGCTGCTGCACAGTAACCGTGGTCCCTCTTGGTCGTGGGAAAGGGGTTTTCTGAACAACCTTCCCATTGTGATCAAACACCAATCGAGTCCCAACCTTTGCAGATGAGTGACAGGTGGAAATGGTTACATCACTGGAAGAAAGCACCAGGCATGGAAGGGTTAGTGAGACTGGAAGGTGGGCCATGTGGTCAGATACTCGTGGGTTAAGTTAGCGTCACAAATGCATGTTCTCACTGTCCTTTCTCTCAAAACTCTCCTCGGAAAGAGATCATGAACCTTCTGAAGTGATCAAGAGGGTTTACATCAGCGGAGGGTCATCCTAAGCACCTGAAACGGGTGCGAGACAGAGAATTCTGGAAACTCTCACTGTTGAGATTAAAAAACTAGGCCATGAAATTCTGATACTTATTTTTAGGGATTATACATCAAAGGATCTCAAGATTCATAAATTCACAAACAGGGCTGCTTCTTAACTTTATTACACAAATTTTAAAGGGGATTCAAAAGCTATTTTAGTTCAGCCATCTAGGTAATTATTTATTTAAAAATTAGAATCGGTTCTATACATGAAAAAAAAAATGTGGATGGGCCAAATTTTTTTCCTGAAAGTTGAAAATAAAACCAATGGCACTAAAATGAGTTGCCATCGAGTTGACTCTGATACGCGGCAACCTCATGTGTGTCAGAACTGTGCTCCACAGGGTTTAACGGCGGGTCTGTTTGTTTTCTAAGTAGATCACCAGGCCTTTAGGCCAAGATAGATTTGGATAGACTCCAACCTCCAACCCTTAGGTCAGCAGTTGAGCACTTTACTGTGTGTCCCCTCTGGGGATTCCAAACCTGCTACTGAGCTTCCAAAGCTGCTGGCAACCTTAGACAGGGTTTCTGGGACCACAAATCTCTATGAGAGCAGACCTCATACTTAGCGGTTCAATACCTAGCTCACGCACCACCAGGTCTCCTTAGAGATTCTAAAAGCTACCTAGCATGTATCACCTATATGTGATTTTAAGATTGAGAAGGGATTGTTTTAAAAAGAGTAACTTATTCTTTATAATACTGTCTGCTCCACGGAACTTATTTCAGAAGAATTAGCACTTAGACTGGTAGTAAGGTAAAACCAAATTCAGAATTTATAAGTTAAGACATTCGGATCAAAAAGTATAAGCAATACTAACTCCAGCCAGACTGTTCCATTTGGGGGATTTTCAGGAGGGTCAAACAATAAAAGACAACACTGCATCATCACCTCAGGGCACAGAGTGAGCTCAGGGCTTCCCCTCGAAAGCCAAATGTCTCAACGTGAATGAGATCAGCAAACTCCTGAATCTTAGAAGTATGATGTTTCAAAGCTGAAAGAGAGATATAAGATATGATGCAAGATATCCAAAGGGATTTCGCAATGAATACACACAATATCACACAAAACCGCAGTTGTGAGTCACTAAGTGTGAATTAAAATTTTGAGACACGGCAAGAAATCTGAAAATATATAATCTCAAGTATCTAAGACATGTTTTTAAAAAGTCAGTAACAATAAAAAGGCAAATAACCCAATCATAAAATAGGCAAAGGATTTAGACATCTTCTTAAAGAGAACAGTCAAATGGCCACCAAACACATGAAAATAGCTGAGTATCATGAGTCATCAGAGAGATGCCAAGCAGAATTCCCTCTCCCTGGGATGGCTAAGAAAGTAACAAACACTGACGAGGATGTGGGAAAGTGCAAGGCTTACCCATCGCTGGAGGCAGTGCACAGCGGTGCAGCCGCATGAAAAAGCCTGGAAAACAGACCATCACGTGACCCAACAACGCCACTCCCAGTGTACACCCAAAAAGCTTGAGAGCAGAGACTCAGAAAGAGACGTGTACCCCAGTATGCACTGAAGCACACAATAGCCCAAACATGGGGAAGATTAATGTCTACTGATAGATGAATGGATAAATCAAATGTGGGGCACACATGTACTGCAATTGTGCTACATGCATGCATATTCATCCTGTAGAGAAATGATGCATGTTACTGTAAGAACGGAGCTTGAAGATATGCTGAATGGAGTAAGCCAATCACAAAAGGACAGATACCGTATGACTTCACTTACACAGAAAGACAAGAACAGGTCAATGTGTAGATGATAAAGTTTATTAGTGGTAAAAGCAAAATGCATTAAGCTGAGGTTTCAATAAAAATTGATCTTTTTTCCCCTAGGGAAAAAAAAGTTTATGAGTGGTTACCAGGAGCACGAGAGAGGGAGAGTAGGGGAGCTAAAGGTGGTGGGCTAGGGGGAGACATCGGACAGTGCAAGACATGAAAAAATAATAATAATTGGTAAATTATCAAGGGTTCATGAGGGAGGGATGGAGGGGGAGGGAGGCAGAAAAATGAGGAGCTGATACCAAGGGCTCAAGTAGAAAGAAAATGCTTTGAAAATGATGATGGTAACATATGTACAAATATGCTTGAGACAATGGATGGATGGATGGATGGATTGTGATAAGAGTTGTACGAGCCCCCAATAAAATGATTTAAAAAAAAAAGTGATGGGAAAATCCCATTGATTAAGTGTATGGCCATACATCTGAATATTGTGATTGCTGCCAATAAGCTGTCTATCTGTAATCACTTCTCAGCCTTTTGGCTAAGAGCAACTGAAGCTGTCTATCTGTAAAAGTTCAAATGACAAAAGCTATGTGATATATATATTTATTACAATGGCCCCCCAAATTAGAATAGCTGTTGAGGCTTATGTACAACAAAGCACCCCATGGAACTCGGTCCCTTGATTTGGAGGTTTAGGGTAAGGGTTTCACTGGGCATCCAGTAATCAGCCTAGTAGAGTGTTTAGGTTTCCCAGGCTCTCAGTTCATTGTGTAGTGTGTGAGGTCTGAAAAGCTTACCAGTGGCTCTTTGCCTGGAGCAACACAGAGGAAGGCGAGCCAGGGACAGGATAAGGATAAAGAATGTGGCTGAATTTCCTCCACAAACAACTGCTTCCTTTGCCATGAGACCAGAAGAACTGGATGGTCCCTGGCTACCATGACTGAACATTTTGATCAGAGATTCTACATAAGAATCCTGATGGAAAGAAAGGTAGAACGGAATTTCAAATTCTCATGAACTCCAGACTTTCTGGAGTTACGGAATGTGGATGAGCCCCTGAAACTATTGTCCTGAGAGCATGCCGTTCAGTTGATGCTGACTCATAGGGACACTAGAGGGCAGGGTAGGACTGCCCTGTGGGTAGATCCGAGACTGTCACTCTTTATGGGGGTCGAAAGCCACATCTCCCGCAGAGTGGCCAGTGGTTTTGAAATGCTGACTTTATGGTTAGTAGCCCAACACATAACTAGTATACCACCAGGGCTCTTAAACAACCGAGCAATAGAATAGGCTTAACTAGCAAGAAAGGATGGCTTTTAGTATTATGATCTTTTAAGATCCATCTATATGGGATCAAATTTACAATAGCAACGGGAAAGACTAGGCAGGATGCTCAGTGAGAAGTGAGTTTAAATCAATGAGGTGAGAACTCAGAAGAGGGAGTGACAAGGGCTGCTCAGCTTTAAAAACACAAGCAGTCCATCAATATCCCCACACGGTCCATGGAGAAAGTGTGGAGCTGGGATGTTCTGCTGTGTACATTCTCAAACACAACAAGATTCAATTTAGAAGAAACGTTTTTTTTAAAAGTATTTTTAAATAAGGTTAGAAAAATCCAACTTACTTAAGCCTTCAAAGTTTGCTTCTTCTACCCCACATCCATTGTCTGAAACTTCGATGAGATCCACCCCATAGTCTTTAAGCCTTAGATCTAAAAAAGGTAACAAATTTTCTCAAAGAATTGATCCATGCGCACAGTAGCATTTTAATTTATTTAATGTAAACTTAAAAGTCAGGACTATACTTTGATTCAAACATGTAACTGCCTTTTTGTATTTTTTATTTTTCAGTCCTTTGACTAGTAACCAGAACCCAGATGAAAGAGGTTTGCATTTTAAAAATAATAATTTTACTTCATAGGCATTAAAAAGGATAGATTTTTATAATCAGAGTTCCTGAGAACAAATTTTACTAGCTGTATAGCTTCAACAAAAGTAAATTCCCTAGGTTTTAACTTTTTCACCTATAATATGGAGAAAATAATAATAGTAATCATTGTTTAGTCATTCTTACCTCACAGTTATTCTGTAGAGTAAATGAGGCACTCTTAGCATAAAGCATGGATACTCTTAGCATAAAGCATGGATACTCTTAGCATAAAGCATGGATACTCTTAGCATAAAGCATGGATACTCTTA